AGCCAGTAACCCCCCCAAAAGTTTGTCGCGGGCGCGTCTCGCCCAAGGCTCGTCGTCGGCGCCGGGGTCGCAGCTGTCGGGCATCGCAAGCGCTGAAGTCCATGTTGAGTAAGGCTCCCTGGGTAGCGACTAGAGGCTGCGCCAGAGCATGAACACGGGGCGCCACAGCAGAAGTCATGTAGTCGCAAAGTATTTCCTTGAGCAACTGCCGCGTAGGGGTTTCAAGGAGGAACTGCGTCAAGGCTTGCACAAGCGTTGCTTGCGCCACGGCGCTCAAGCTGGGACGGAGAGAATGCCTGGCCAGAGAAACGCAGAGCCTGTCAGCAGTAGCATCTCGGAGATCTCGCTCCAGGACAAGCATGTCTTCAGTGTCCTGCCACAAGCGAAAAGCACGGGGCCAGTAGTTGCCGTCAAGAATGCAACCGTGCAGGATGTCTCCCGTGCAGGAGCGGGTGGACACGTGAGTGGCGCGCAACGGCGTCCAGACAGCGCCGTGTGTTTTGCAACGCACGCGCTGCACACGCGCGCGATACACGCCGGAGGCTGTGAGCACACGAGGACCGGTGTAAGTGCCATGCGCTACCACGCAACATGGAGTAGCATCGTCACGATGTGGACAAGCTGTTGGCATGGCATCGAAGGAGACGGGCATTGTGATGAGGTCGTTCAGTAGCCGGAGGGCGTTCGGCGGCAGATCTGGGTTATTTGCATCATGGCTGTCCGTGTTAGGACCACCACCTGCACCCGGGAGCAGCATGCGTGCGGCGGCAGAATCTTCGGTTGATAGTGGAGCTGTAAAAGCAACGTCGTCCGAGACGATCCCATAGCAGCAGCTGTGGATGGGCGCAGGCTTGCCTGCGGCGCATACGTTGTTTCCCAGGCCCCCTCTTAGTAGGTAGGGCTACATGTGTGGTTTCTCTACAGCTTTGGGAACCCTAAAGCAAGCCCTGGGTTCAGGGCACGTCTACGGAGGCGTCCTAAAGGACAGTGACATCTTCCGTGTGCCCTCCCAATAGCAAAAACAACCCACCTGAGCTCTGCCGTGGCAACAGAGGAACCGCACGCTGGAGACCCTGACGTGGCAAGGTTTTCGGCTGGTCTGGCTTGGCACGCCAGCAGCGCCCTGACTTGGCGTGGCCGGGGCAAGTACAAGGACCGGACGTGGGATACGGGGCAAACCGCATCGCCTGGACGGAGTCCTCCGTCAGAGCAGTGACGCAGGCGTACACAGAAGGCGCACCAGGCCAGATACAGAAGTCTCCAACCTGGACTGCGCGGCAGTTGCAAGCACGTCGTTACTAGTAGTAAGAAAGCGTTTGTTTGCAATGCGAAAGTATAGAAAGGTTTTGTGCGTAATATGCACGAAGCCACACGCAGCGGCTTGTCGTCCGGCACCAGGCCAGCGCTTGGCACAGGCAAGGGAGGCGCCAGCATGCAGGTCACATTCATGGCACGCAAGAAGCTTGTGACGCTGCCGGCATCTTGGCGTTGAAACTGGTCAGTAAGCTCCGCGTAAGGACCTTGGGTCAAATCTTCGGGGAAGGCTCCGCCAGGGACAGCAGCCCTGGGAGATGTCACGGCCAAGACCTGCACGCATCGCCGCCTACGCTTAGCAGGCTTACTAGAGACGGCGGGCGACTCTCCACGTGCTCTCTTCAAAAGGCGGCCGCCAGCTCCCCTGGCTGTCGAGCAAACATGATGGCACATGACGCCAATGCTTCCTTCTCGACCACACCGGCAGCGAAAACCGTTTTCTAAACGAGTTGTTCGCTCGGCTACGGCTGACAGCTGATCTCGCTGACTGGCATGCTTCTCATGCAGCGCAAGATGTTTTCGAAGTAACTTGCCAGCATTGGCTCCAGAAGTGGAGAAGGTCCAATCGCGCGGGCGTGCAAAGCAAGTCTTGACCGGCAGAAAGTAACATCCCCCATGTTCACATGAGCGGGACTCCATGAAGGCAAGAAGCGTCAAAGAAGTACTCACATTTAGTAGCTGTTTGTTGTCAGCTCGGTCTCGAATCAATTTATGAGAATATGTGGATTATGCGAGAGAGACACTGGCGGCGACAGTGACGGCTGCCCGTTCGCTGCCCGAAGCATCTTGAGAATCCCGATGGAAGAGCTTACCCTAAACCCTAAACCCTGGACCTCGCTGGTGTACGTAGTCCACTGGCCCATAGCAGCCAAGGCGTAGTCACCTGAAGGCTTGGTTTAGAGTTTAGGTTCCTACCCTCTTACAGAGCGGGGTTTAGGGTGCACTTGGATGTTCATGGTACTTACCAAGCCAATTATAACAGTACCGAGAACCCAATGTTAACCATGTTAGGGCCAGGGTTTCGAGGTGGGTTATGAGTACAGCTGTAACTGGGCGAAAAGAATCGTGAATCTCAAAGAAGGGCTATTTGCAGAGCTTAGGGCTTCGGGATTTCGAGTGTAGGGTTTGGGGGCTAGGGCTTCGTGCCGCAAAAAACCCCGCTCCCCAAACTGTAGCCCCCAAAGAACCTTCGAGAGGGGAGGCCGAGAGCCCTTAACCAGAGAACGTTCCCTGAAGTCATACTAAGGATCCCGGTAATACTTTAAAGTCTATGGCTTAATTGAGGGGTCTTGGGCTCTATGGGCAATTCCAGCAGCACAGGAAGATCCACGGCTCCGACCCGCGCATCGTCTATGCCCAGCTGCTCCACAGAGGAACCACTGATCTTGCAAGCAACTTTTGTTTCAGAACTTAGGGGCCAGGATTTAAGGAGGATATTTAGGGTTTAGGGTTTGGGGCTTAGGGTTTAGGGTTACAGGGGATCAAGGTCTCGGGTTTCTCTAGGCGTCGAGAACCGGCCGGCAGGGTGGAACGTCTATGACTTCAAATCAATAAGTATATCAAATCAATCGTATGTTTGTTGCTATATCCTGGTTATGTAATCTGTATATATATATATATGTATTTATACAGATTTTCTATATGTTTTTTTCCCCCGTGGCCTCCCCTGCGAAACACAGGAAGCACCCAAAAAGCTTACAACCCCAAGCTCTTTCCTCTTCAGCCTCTCAACTCATTTGTCTCTGAAAAGTTGAGGGTTCCCTCTCTAGGGCAGTTGCTGACTTTAGGTAGATAGCGGTAGGTAGTTATAGGCAGGCGGGATAGAGTTGATATGCTGTTCTTGGTTGGCTTGGCTGCAAAACAGAATCAAACAGAAGCGCCTGCTCGATCAGCCAGGCACATTCTGGTGTAGACCAGCCGCAGCGCACTCGCCAGCCAGCTCTTTGCAGCACGTTGGAAGTCTATTTCTGCAGTGCAGATCTCCCAAACACTTAGCACCACATCGGCAGCTGGCGCATGATGGAGGGAATATCGCATGGTACGCTTTAACCCGCGCAACGGAAAGTGTAAAAAAGCAAAAACGAAATTTCCAAGTTTACGCTTGCACGTTTTATGCGTTGACGCTTTGACGCTGGACGCGCGCGGCCGAAAACCGAGGATGCAGAAAGCGCAGGTGGTAAAATGGTAAAAACGAAATTTCGAAATTTACGCTTTTACGCTTTTACGCGCGCGGCGGAAAACTGAGGATGGAGGAAGCGCAGGCGGTAAAACGGTAAAAACGAAATTTCGAAATTTACGCTTTTACGCTTTTACGCTGTTACGCTGGACTCGCGCGGCGGAAAACTTAGGATGCAGGAAGCGCAGACGGTAAAACGGTAAAAACGAAATTTCGAAATTTACGCTTTTACACTTTTACGCCGTTACGCTTTTACACGTTTATGTAGATCAAAACTGAGGATGCAGGAAGCGCGGACGGTAAAACGGTAAAAACGAAATTTCGAAATTTACGCTTTTACGCTTTTACGCGCCGAGCACGCGCGGGAACCCACTATTGAAACCAACGCGGGCAAGGCAGCTTAGGCAGTTCACGGCTTTCCCTTGATCCCTCGCTCTTCACCAGGTGTTCTCTTCCCTCTTCTTCGCGTGTCTGGTTTCTCCGCTCTGACTCCCTTCCACTGGACGAGGGCGGGCGCGCGCAGAGAAACATTTGTGGGCCATCGCCTGGGCCATCATCTCCTCCTCCTCCTCCGCCTCCTACTGTCATACTGGAAGAGAGAGCCATCCAGCATGACACTGCACATGGGAGGTCTGGGAGTGGGTACATGCCGAGGTAGTTCATGTTTTGCGGGCTGCGGGAGTCTCAGGTCAAGTGAGATGTTGAATGTGTGTCGGCTGCTTTCAATGGGCGAGATTGTATCAAGCATGCCTTCGTCGTTTGTCATCTCAGATATGTGGACACCTGGTTGTCTTTTCACGCCCTGTTCGCGCAATCTGCTTTGGAGATCTTTGAGCATACCGTATACGATGTGACTGTGAAGCTATACAAGGCTACAAAGCGTTTAAGAAAGTAGTGTCCTATCAAGTTGTGCCTGCATCTTGGTGCTGCGAAAAGGCTAACCTCGCCCTGCAGTCATTAGTGCTGCTGTGTGGGGACGAGCTGGTCCATATCGACAGCAGGCCCTTGTGAAAAATACTTCGTCGTCAGGAAGGGCGGCTGCGTTTGAGACACTGTCGATGGCGGGTTGGTCAAAGTCTGTGCGTTAATTTTTGCGCAGTTGCTTCTGCGTAAGTTATGCTGAGAGTTTTGCAGTTACCCCTGCGTTTGGCTACCTCTTGGTAAATATTCCGTCATATAGCCAGCGATACAGCCGCGACTAGCGATCACGCGCTAGTCACGTGACGCTAATCACAGCTGCATCACGGGCGATGACGACTATTTTATTTTTAGGGGTAACTGGCTTGCAGGGTTACCTTGACAATGTATGCAGGATATTTTGCAGGTTCATGTCCTCTTGAGTGGGTCCGACAGATGAGTGCAGTACTGGGCACCAGACTCTAGGGTGATGCCTGATGCTTTGCCCTTGCTGCGGGATGCCATGGCCGGCAAGAGCGAGCGAGAGGGAGAGAGAGAGAGAGAGAGAGAGCGAGCGAGATTGGCAAATCATGTCGACACCTGATTGTCTGAGGCCGCCATTGAGCGAGGACCCACATAGGGGCCGCGACTCTACAGCCTCATACATGGCGGCCAAAGAAAAAGTTGCGGAAGCAAGGGCTATTTTGTAGCGAGCTGTCGGCCTCCACCCGAGGAATGGGGAAGTTAGTCTTGCAGTCGAAAAGTTCTGCAACTTTCTACTTTTCAGCATTGCTGCTGGAACTCAGGCTCTCTAGAATGGTCCACCCTGGCCAGCTACGAGGGGGAGTTTAGGCAAGGGCTTTGCAGATTTGTCACATAGGTTCTGAAGGCCCTCCCCAACTTGCGCACCATGGCGCAGGTTGGGCGAGTACCATGGCAGCGGTCGTTTCTCGTGGTGACTTCCCCATCTCTCGCCATGAGTCGTCTGCGGTTCTACTTGTGATTTTTCAGGCCTGGAGGAAGTGTCTACGATGGGGACTGGCAGGAAGGAACCATGCACGGCCCTGCCCTCACGGCAAGGCTTGCGATCCAGCCGTAGAGAGTTCAGTCCAAGGGGTCCATGGGTCCATAGGGTCCATAGGATTCATAGGATCCATAGGATGCCCCAAAAGGTTCTGTTTATACCCCTAACGGCCGAAATGCCTTAAGCCTGGGGCCCCCAAAGGTCGTGGCGTACTTGGCAGCGTCGGGGACGACACCTTTGAGCTGGGAACACGGTATCTGGCAGCTCTGTGCTTGAAACGCCGAACATTCTTCCCCAATGGGCTGTTCAGCCGTGTCGCCATGCTCTCCCATACTGAGGCCGTTTGTCTATGCAAGGCACTTGGCCGTTGATGGCAAAGTGGGTCGGGGTGAAATGGTAGGATTGCGGTAAAGTTCTGCGGGCCTCAGGTTGGGGACTTCCACCACGGGCAGCTGCAAGGCTGGTTGCCGTCACTGCGATCATCGCTGCATCATGTCTTGCACGAAGCTGGGCGTCTCTCAGTCGCTCGGCAATTCGAAGCTTTGACGTTCTTGTTGTCTGAGCTGTTGCTCGCCCCAAGAGATGTCAGGACGCAGGCGTGCAAGCACAGCATCTAGAGTTGAAACGAACTTGCAGATGATTGTTCCCTAGCCTGAAGCAGCAGCAAGATGACGTACAGGCTTGAGCAAGACTACTTTGCCCCGTAGTTCTGACGACCACAGCATGGTGGTCAGTGCAGATGAAGTGGATGTTAAGGCGGCTGCCACTCTACTGCATCAGTGCCGCAAAGCCCATCAGGATTTGCTGAAGTGTGCAAGGGATGAGGAGGCGCTACTCTCCCGGCTGTCCTTCCACATGCGCAACCTAAATCCAGCAGCAGAAGCCAGCCCAATCTCTAAAGGAGTCGAGGGCGAGAAGCTTGCCGTGAAAGCGGATATGCTGCAAATTCCGCGGCATTTGGATGAAAGGACGGCAGAACTACCAGAAGTTGAGTCACGAGCCTCACACGGTTCAAGTGAATCTCGAAAACGCACAGCTCTTCGCGAGTTGAAAGGCTTGGAAAAGTTTCCATCTGAGAGCGTGCAGCCACAGTATGCCATTGTCGGTATTGACGGGACCGGACGGCCTGTCGTCCGCAACGGCTTGATCAACATGTTAAGGTCAAATTTCTCCTCTTCCAAGAGCGAGTACAGATGGTGGTGTTCAGGCAGGTTGGCTCAGTATTTTCTCTCAGTGGCAGTGTTTCTCGATGCAATGTGGTCTCTAGAAGAGCCGGAACGCAAAGGTTGCCTGAAGAAAATCGTTTGCAGCACGACCTTTGGCATGGTGTCCACTGCTGTGATACTGCTGAATGCCGCCTTCATCTTCTACACCACAGACCTTGAGATGCGCAGCATCGAGAATGCCATGGGCATGGGTGACGACAGCATCAGGATCATCGAGCTAGCCTTAGCTTCTGTGTATGTGGTGGAAGTGATCCTGAGGCTGATGGTGCACAGGCTCTTCTATTTCTGGAACGCTGAAATGGCTTGGAATTGGTTCGATTTCCTCCTTGTCGTGTTCTCCGTGTTTGAGAACCTCCTTGTCTTCGGCTTGCTTCCAGGGCAGAATACCTCTGCAGACGCAGGCCCCACTGTCAATTTGGCATTCTTGCGCCTCATTCGCCTCTGCAAGATTGTGAAAATATTGCGTGTTTTCCGGACATTGAAGTTCTTTAGCGAGCTACGCCTGATGTTGGACTGTGTGCTTGGATCACTCATGAATGTAATGTGGTGCGTGATTCTGCTTGTCTTCGTGATGTACGTATTTGGCCTGCTACTACAACAAGGAATTGTTCAGTTCCTGATGGAAGAAGGGAAGAACGTGGACCAAGCCGACTACGATTTCATCATTGAATACTTCGGCAGTGTTTTTCAGACGGTCGTCACTCTCTTCCAGTCGTCCACTTCCGGAGTGGATTGGAATGAGCCGTACAAGGCTTTGAGGTTGACGGGGGATGTCATGCCAGTCGCATTCTTGGTCTATGTTGCGTTTGTCTTCATCTCAGTGTGGAACATTGTGACAAGTACCTTCGTGGAAAAAGCCCTGAAGTTGGCACAGCCTGATGTGGATATGCTTATCCTGGAGCAGCAGCTGCAAGATTTCGAGGATTGCAAAATGCTGGCCAGGCTCTTCAAGAATATGGGTCCAAAAGATGATGATGGCAGCGGGCGCATTGGAATAGCAGAGTTTCGCCGCCTTGTCGAAACCTACGAGTTCAGATCCTACCTACAAACCAAGGGTATCGACATCAAGAATGCGGATGCTTGGTCCGTACTTCCCCGGGAGATCTGTTTACAGTTTACAGCCCTCAATGTCAAGCAAATCTTGAACTGCCTAAGCCAGCAGTCCAAATCTGGCGAAGTCCTAACACCAGAAGCCCCCAATCCTTTCCAGCATATTCGGAAAAAAATCATCAAGCTCCCAGATCAGCCCAGGAGACGTTCTTCAAAATGCTTGTGGAGCTGCAAGGAGAAAACACATTAGATGCGGGCACATTTGCAAATGCGTGTGTGCGTATGAAGGGAGCTGCCACCAGCATTGATTTGCAGACCGTGATGTTCACTACACACCTCATGAACAAAGAGCAGCGAAAGTTCTTCCAGTCTGTGCACGGCCGCCTTTCCAACATTGAATCAATCCTTCTCGACGAGCCTATCATGAGCCACTGCCCGGGTGACCTGCTTCTGAAGGGTGATGTGTGCACGCCAGTGCGTGAGGAAACCTCTTCATGGTGCCGCTTATGATAGCCCAAACTTGTATACTGAGAAAACTTGGGGGGAATGCAAAGTCTTGGTAGAGCAACGAGGTGGCCAAGAGATGCAGTTTCACACCAACATACACCCACATCATTCAGGTTTTTTTTGTCGAGGCATCCTGCAATTGTGGAGCATGCCTTTGGCCTAAGTTGTGCAAGCCGGATGTGTATAGATCCACCGATCCACCCAGAAGAAAGCTTCGTGAGGCTTGCGTGCTGTTGAGAGCGAAGGTTTGATTGGACGTGCTTGAGAAGCCGCATTGAGCATCCACACGTTTGACAAAAGCCATCTCGTCTCGACAGCCTGCAGCGAAGTAAACGGTTCTCAACAACTTGTTTCAGTCACATGTTGTCCAGGTAACCCGGACGGTCGCAGTCGCACTTAGCAGCAATGCAAAGTATGCAAGCTTCAGTGCAATCCAACAGTCGCTGCGGCGCCTTTAGCCATGTCGCTGACGTCATGGTGTCCTGGTTTTGCTGTGGCCAGCGGCCAGAATGAAGGGGAAGAGCAGGCCACGGACTTGCTACAACAGTGTCGATCCATGCATCAAGATCTGATCAAGCTGGCCATGGACGAGCAAGCTCTTCTGTTCAAGTTGTCCACAGAGGTTCAGCGGGTGAAGGAGCAATCAGAGACTGTTCAGATTGGAATGGATGTCGGCACTGAGAGTGTGAACACCTACCGGATGGCAGCGGAGGATGCTCTATCCGATACGGCTGCTGAGATTCCCGTTGTTGCTGTTATTCATGAGACAGGGGAGCGAAGGCTGCTACGCTTCGGCAGCCGCCAGAGTAAAAGCTCTGAGGCGCTCACCGATTCAATTGATGCAAAGCGATCCAACACCTCCGCCTCCGTCGCTTCTTCACATGAGGTCGTGACCAAGAAATCACGACATGGCTTGGACCCTGCAGGGCAGAAAGTTCACAAGTCTCTTTCCGATTCTAGTCGGCCCTGCTATTCAATCAACGGCATTCGAGATCGAGAGAATCCATATCTACAGACCAGCGTGCTCAACATCCTGAGATCAAATTTCTCATCAACGGCAGAGGAACACCGATGTTGGTGCGCTGGCCAGCTGGCCAGGTGCCTGCTGTGGTTTACAGCGTTTTTGGAGAACTGCTGTTCCTTAGAGGAGCCAGAACGTCACGGACGTCTGGCGCGCTTTGTGAATAGCACCATGTTCTCGGTGTCGACTGCCAGTGTGATCTTGCTGAATGCGGGCTTCATCTTGTATACGACTGAGCAAGAGATGCGGAACCTCGACCAGCCGCTCAATACAGATACCAATGTCTATTTGATTGAGCTGGTGCTAGCATCCTTCTACGTGGTTGAGCTCCTGCTCAAAATGATGGTCCACAAGTTCTATTTTTTCTGGAATGCTGAGATGGCTTGGAACTGGTTCGACTTCTTCCTCGTAGTTTTCTCTGTGATCGAGAACCTTCTGGTCTACGATCTGCTACCGGCAATGACCTCGGCCGCAAATGCTGCGACCTCGACAGACGGAAGTTCGTCTAGTGTGAACTTGGGTTTTTTGTGCCTGGGCTGTCAAGTAGTGTCATTCGCTGATCACTCCAGTCAGCCAAACATGATTAGATTCCTGCGACATGTGTGCCAGCTAAGGCGCTTAATTCGCCTCTGCAAGATTGTGAAAATATTGCGTGTCTTTCGGACACTGAAGTTCTTCAGTGAGCTACGCCTCATGCTGGACTGTGTGCTGGGTTCCCTCATCAATGCCATGTGGTGCGTGATTATGCTTGTCTTTGTGATGTACGTGTTTGGGCTGCTGCTGCAACAGGGAATTGTCCAGTTCTTGATGGAAGAAGGGAAGACAGTGAACCAAGACGACTACAATTTCATCGTTGAATACTTCGGCAGTGTTTTTCAGACGGTCGTCACTCTCTTCCAGTCGTCCACTTCCGGAGTGGATTGGAATGAGCCGTACAAGGCTTTGAGGTTGACGGGGGATGTCATGCCAGTAGCATTCTTGGTCTATGTTGCGTTTGTCTTCATCTCAGTGTGGAACATTGTGACGAGCACCTTCGTGGAAAAAGCCCTGAAGTTGGCACAGCCTGATGTGGATATGCTTATCCTGGAGCAGCAGCTGCAAGATTTCGAGGATTGCAAAATGCTCGGAAGGCTCTTCAAGAGCATGCGCCCTCCGGATGCTGATGGCAACGAGCGCATTGGAATGGAAGAGTTCCGTCAATTAGTGGAGACGTACGAGTTCCGATCCTATCTCCAAACCCGGGGCATCGACATCAAAAATGCTGAGGCGCGTGGTTGTTTCCAAGCTGTCGAGTGCCTTACGCTCGTTGAATCGAATACTCTGTCGAAGAAGGTTCCCTGTTTGGTTTGGTGATGTTGCATCCCTTGCTAGAGAGAGCACCATGGAAGCGTCGAAGCAAGCGGAGCGCAACGCGGAAGCCCGGGATGCTTTTACGTCGGGAAAAAATCACAGAGTGAAAGGGGCTGAGGGGGAGAAAGAAAGGGGTGCGCCATGCCGTAAAAGCCAAGCTTTCATGAGCTGCATCATCAATTCTTGGATGACAACTTCTGCAACCCGCACTCTTGCAAAGGGGAGGTCCCCTACGACCCCTTCGCTGTTACAAGCTTTCCAACGGTCGAGCAAGTTTGTTCTCATCAAAGCTGCGCAAATGCGGCAACATCCTTTGCTTACAGACGGAGCACGATGGCATCAACATGCAAAGCCAGGGTGAATGCCGCCGGCTGCCCCCCCTTCAAATTCGATTAAACCCGCTATACTACTGTACACAGTTGTGCAAGTATCAACATGTAATGCGTGGCTTAACGCTTGTCGGGGTGTCGGGGGGTGGGGAGTAATGCCTGCAAAGGATACCTTGACTGAGATGCAGCCAGTTACCGTGTTTGGAGATGGAAGTTGCACAGCTGCCGGCGGTTAAACGCGACGAAACGGTGAAGGGGTTGATTGAGTGGGGGGGGGGGGGCGTTGGGAAATCAGAGGGTTGCCAAATTGGGTCTGGCCAGGGTTCTCTTTTGCATTTTTTGTGGGTGTCGCCTCCATCCTGTGCGCAGACCTTCTTCAAGATGCTCGTGGAGTTGCAGGGCGAGCCAATGATTGATGCCACCACTTTTGCCAACGCATGTGTGCGCATGAAAGGGGCTGCTACAAGCATCGACTTGCAGACCGTGATGTTCACCACACATCTGATGAACCAAGAGCAGCGGCGGTTCTTCCAGTCCATGTACAATCGCCTGATGACAATTGAACACATCCTCCACGAAGAACATAGTGTAGACGGAGAAAATTCAATTCCAGGTCCTTTTTTGACGCAAAGCATAGATGAACGTGCTGACACACTAGACACCGAAGGTGCAGTCAGGACAGGTTCACTGCGTCTGTAAGGCGTGCATGTGCACCCAGTCACAGGCCGGTCTTGAGCTTTTGCTGACTCTTTCTGCGTGGTATTGCCAGAGCTCTGCAAGTCCCAGTTGTAGCTGCTGTTCGTGAGCTGGGTCACATGCTATGTGTATGTTTCACCGCAACACAACCTTTCGAAGATCATGAAGGATCATCATGGGCCGGCTAAGCTGGCAAGATCTGAGACCCCTTGACGCGCTGTGAAAGACAAGTGCTTGCCCACAGGACTGGAGTGCCACTCCCATTGTGCTCCTAGTGCTCCTGCATGTTCAGACAGCTGTTGAGAGGCTGTGGTTCAGCCGCTCTCTGAGCAAGAACTGCTGGGCATGCCCAAGAGAACTATCCGTGCAGGTTTGCATGCTGGTCCGTTTCTATTCATGAGGTAGTCTTCTTGAACTCCGAGACAAGCGGACATGAGGCCACGATGTTCCTTTCAAAATCCCGCATGTTTCCGGAACGGGGCAAACCCGGTCCGTGCTGCATGCTGAGATATGGTGACAGTGAGAGCCATAGACAGGACCACTACAAGGGTGAGCTTCAGAATTCGAAGCTTCACGGCGTGAACCTGAGTGCCCACCTTCGGTTTCCGATGTCATCCAGGTCCATCATGTCTGCAAGCTTGCATGTGCTTGCAGTCGCTTGCAGGTCACGGTGTTCTCACTTCAGTCAGCCCCTACATGTTGTGGCATGGCATGGAGGGGTACTGTTACGGTAGCATGTCGTTTCAAGACGTTGCAAGCGATCGCTACCAGCCCCGGGGTCCAACTATCGGATTGGCCCCTGCGAAGCTTCCATGATTGTTCCAAGTGACCCAAGTGATAGCCGCAGAGTGTTAAGAACTATTCTTTTTCATCTTTTACCGTGGAGTTTTGATGGAGTTTGGCCAGGTGACTGGGCGCCAAGTTTCGGGCCGCTTTGAGGATGGGTACTGTGTTGCACCGCTCTCAGATCGCTGCGTTTCTGGACTGCTCGCGACTTGGTTTTGCATGTTTTGCGAGTGGCAGATTGGACACAGGACGGCCAAGTTGATCAACCATCTGGACATGTCCGAGACCCAGAGGAGGGCATGTGACGTCCAAATGCGTTGTCCTGAGCCTTTCAAGGATGCGGAGGCTCCCACGGGCTGGAACAGTCTCAAATGTCTCAACTTATCATGTCTTTTTCCATCTTGCAAGCTCGAGCAATAGCCAAGATCAAAGGCATGTCTAAAGAAGTCCACAGACCCATCTCGACCCATAATCTAGGGTTTGGCGGATCTCGTTTTCCAAAATCACGTGCCGCCCCTCGGCTGCCACAAAATTATGATGCCAAACCGGTCGAACAGCAACTATCAGCAACTTTCCGGGTGGATCATGAAAGCAGAGGGGGTCATAACTCCGTCATCGCCACGAAAATTATGTTCCGAGCACTCTCTTCCTTTGCTGTGGTGCTAAGCATGACTGCAGTGGTCTGATATGGTTTGACCGGCCATCTTACAAGGTCTATTTGGGCGAGCTTCAAAGGACATGGATGTGAGCAAGTCTATTGTGCAGCAGAGAAACTACAATCCGGTTTAGGCGTTGTGTTGTGTTTTGATCATGATGTGTCATGCTGTCATCCAGAGCATGGCGGGGTTTGCTGGCAATCGAGCTGACCTGATCCTCGCCCGGCTTGAAGAGGAACCTGGAGCACGGACCTGGCATTCGACTTGGCGGGCAGAGACAAGCTGGACCAGTGGCCGGAGGAGCAACAGAGCTGCTGTTCATGACTGTAATCGCGCGAGGATTCTGGCTGGAATCGAAGCTGGTCAGCATGTTAACACCTCAAAATACCTGCGACGCCGAGTCGTCCTTCGTGTGAGTGGGTGGACAAGCAGTGCTGTCCAAGGCTGAAGCAGTCGGGCTTAGAGAGCACCAGTGCTGGGTCCTCGCACTTTGCCTCTGCTCACAAGGTTCAGAAACCTTGCACATGGACTCAGCATCTGAGGAGCTTGTTGGGGAAAGCTCCGAGTCTGAGGCGCGCTCGGTACGCCTCATCTCCGTCCCAAAAATGCTGAAGAAGGGGTACTTCGTCCGTGTGGTCGGTGTCTTGACATGACTGGGAGGTGGCGGAAGTGAACCACTCTGGTCTGCTAGGGCCTCACAAGAGCAGACCATCGAAGACGCTTGCAAGTAATGCAGGCAGCTCTTCCTTGTGCTTTCACACTTCTATCCCAAGGTTCCAGTCCGGCATCGCAATGCAAACGCTGCCAAATGGGGACCGGTATGCACGTAACCTACTTTGGCCATACCAGGCTGTCGAGCGCTGAATTGTTTTTGGGACAGCCGGTTGTCGCGCTGAAGAGTCGCCGAGGTGGGGTTCCTGGAGGCTGCACACCTGAGAGCAGATTCCTTGCATGTCCTTGCGACGTTTGCCATTCCTTTGTTGGAGAATGGAATCCTGGAAGGCGGGAAAGAAGCACGGCCGCGGCGTCTTCGCACGGACCTGGGATTTTGGGAGAGTGGTTTTCCTCATGTGCTTCGCATGCGGAGGTCTACTGCGATGGTGCCGTGTTCAAGGGTGACTGGCAGGATGATGCTTTAGATGGAGTCGGGCGCTTAGTCGCGATTGAGCCATAACTTGAGTTCCGGATGGAGACAAGACTTTCCGCACTCGTGTGCTGGCCCCACCTTTGTTGGTCACACTCTGTCTGCCACTCATTCTCTGCCTCTGCTCTCTCCTCTCCTTCTTGCTCTCTTCATTTATCTGTTTTAAACCTCCGGCTTGCCTCTCGCCTGCTCTCGCTTGCTCTCGCTTGCTCTCGCTTGCTCTTGTTTGCTTGCCTTCCTAGCTCCCTGTCCTCCTCTGTTCGCGTGTCTGTCTGCGCCTCTCTGGCCCGCCTGTCTAGCTCAATTTCCGTTGCTTTGTCTCAACTATACCCCGACAAGTAGGAGCCCCGCACACCATGCAAATCCCGAAAGCAAAATAAACCGTGTAGCGTGCGACTTGTACCGAATGCCTGCACGAATAGGGAGTTTACAGAAACAGAAGGTGCAGCATCCTCAGCCTCCTGACGGCACTGTCGGCGAAGGTCAGACACTCGCTGCGTCTCGGAAAAGTTTTTGCTTTTGCGGGCGAGTCCCTTCCTCCTCCCAAAATTTCACAAGTTTTTCAGGCGATGGTGACCCTGATGCCTCCAGTGCTGGCGCGCAGTAGACCACTCCTCAGTTCCAGGGGTTTTGGCCAATTTTGTCCATGTGGGTCAGATGCCACGTTTCGATGGTGTTCGAAGGGTGTTTACTGTGTATCGCTGCGTGTTTTGTGCACGTGAAGCTTTCGAGCCAAGACATGTGGCTTGAAAGCCCCTGTTTCAATAGCATGTTCTTACAGGACACATCCATTAGGCACCCATTGCTACTCGTATCTCTTGCCACTTGTCCTCGAGCATCTCGCAAGGGTATGCATCACGTCCGGGGTCGGGCTGATGCCTGATACTGAGGCTGGCAAGCGTTGCCTTCGCGCGCAGTCAAGGCTGAACAGTGACAAGAATCATTGCAAAGCATCACGAACAACTGTCTGGCCGCAGCTGTCCTTGCATGCAAGTGCTGCCTCGTGGTTCAAGCCCTTTTTTTTGGTGTGGAAAGGGGCGCAGGGCAACGTGAGGCGACGCAAACACTGAGAGCCCGAAGTGTGCGGAGATGTGTGGACAACCTTTCGTTGCTGAAGGTGTTTGCGCCGGTGTTGGCCCTTACATGGCAGCTGGCCGAGTAGCTGGAAACAGCGGCATGAGCAACACATTCATAGGATTGTTAAAGCATTGTACGCTGAATCTTCATTTTTTGCAGCTGAAGGCGCAGTATGGAAAGGCAGAGTACTGGGAGGCTTTCCACGCGGTGCATGGCCACGTTAGAATTCAGAGAGCGTAACTGCTGTGCACTACAGGAGCGCTACACACGAGACCCCGAGCCCTTCGACTGGTACCAGCGATGGGCAGGGCTGAAGGCCAGAACAGTAGCTCTGTAGTGGGCCTAGTCTAAGTTGCACAATGTGTGGCATGCCAGGACACTTTCGCGGAGTACATTCAGCCCGTCAGAATCCCGCTTCGTTTGCATGTGCCATCTGTGTCACGTCCTGCCTTGCAAGGCTCACAGCATTTTGATGCAGCTTGGCGGCACGCAGCCGACTTAGTTGCCAGCTCAGCGTTACTCGGCTGATGGTTCCAGAGGCTTGGCTGTGGAAACTCACGGCTCAGTGAAGAGATGTACGAGGACGGGCTTCTTTCAAGATATTTGAAGAACCTCCAGCAAACCCCGCTAGCCGAAGCCAGCAACAAAATGGCCGATTCAATTCTGGGCCCCGTGAAACACATCAATCCTCAAGAGTTCCAGACTGCGGCATACTAAAACTTGTTGACCAGTGCAGCATTCCATCCAGTGCCCACGACAGAGGAACTCACGCATGTTGCAACTCTTCCAGCAGGAGGGCTACCACTCCGTGACGAACATTGACATGGCTATGACGGTTGTCAAGGCCACAGCGAGGGTGTGATGATGCTTTGCCACATGGATGGCCACGGGCTAGTTTTTTCGTGATCCTGCGCAAGTGCGGCCATCAAGTCCATGCAATTGCTTCATATTGCATAAGCCTAGCAGCCGACACGGACTGAGCAAGCCTGAACCGTAGAAGAGCACAGCCGTTTTTGTTGAGGAGTACTGCTGCGACCTGACCATACCTGACCTCTGATGTCATCTAATTATAACCGTTTGGCAGTAGCTATTTGCTGAAGACTTCGATCAGGCGATGCAAGAGAAGTATCGCGACAAGCCCGGAATGACCTACAAGCAGATGGACGGCCGGTCCATGGAGTTGCCAGATGCCAACTTCAACGTAGTCATTGACAAGGCCTTGGGAAGCACTGCGGAAGCGCGTAAAAGCGGTTTGCTGTGTCTTGTCGACTCTGCTGCAAGGCTTGTTTGGATTCCGTACTCTGTGGAGAAGGATCGACGCACAACGCGCAAAAGATCCTGACAGAGGTTTCCAGAGCAGCTTAGACAGCAGATTAGATCACAGTCAAGCATCTCAGCACCCTCTTTTCAGCCACGCTGCTCAGGTCTTGCAGCCGAACGGTGTCTACGTTTGCGTGTCGCATGGGCAGCCGTCTTATCGACTCACGTACTTGCAGAGACCAGAGTTTGGATGGAACGTGTGGGCCTTGGCAGCCTCGAGCAGAACCATGCAGCTTACGATGTCATGCTTCGTCGACCCGAGCGGTTTGGCCATTCTATTCTCTTCCCTGCATCTGCTGTTGTGGATCTAAGCAATATTCGTAATTCACTACAGGGACCCTTCCCCCCCTCCGCTTTCGCTCCCGAAATCAATCGAAATCATAACCTTCTGCTCCGCAAGATATCAGGATATCAGGAATTTTCCAGATCGCCTGCGCGGGATGCGCAGTTAGTTTCTTAGTCTTGGCCTGCGCGGGATGCGCAGTTAGTTTCTTAGTCTTGGCCCAACCAGCTGTGTTCTTTTTGCCCAGTTTTGACCAGTATCGAATACAAGGGCTCCAAGTTAAGCCCATAGTAGGGGCTCGTACTTAAATCCTGGAGAGACGGCGCCCCCTCCCCCCCCCACGGACATGGCTCCGCCAGCAACGGCAAGTGTCTAGGACCAAAGTCCCTGTTCAAAGCCAAAGGCAAAAGGTGGTTCGCCCAAACCTTGTGGAGCCGTGGCGGATAATGAGAATGATAGGCAGGGGGCTCCGCGCTTCGGCTCCCCTACACCCCACCACCAACGTCCCGACCGCGACGTCGGCCTTGCCGACCTCACAGCGCGGACCACAGCCTCGTGTTCGTTGGGCCCGGGAAGGCTCTCACCGCCCTCACAGCCAGGCGTGAGCCTTGCAAAGACGACCGCGCGCCAGAACGGATCATCACTTACATTTATGACGAGGATTTCATTGCTGAGCCCTCCTCCCCAATGCTGGCAAGCAGGCGCTCCAGGATTTTCGATAAGCCCAGGTTCAAGTTTGCAGACGGCACCGCACAGTGGTATATGATGCCACGTGCTGTGCTAAACCGACGAGCCAATTCCGTGGTTGCTTTGAACCGCAGTGGGCATATGAAAGCCTGCTCTTTGTACGGAGCTGCACGGCGGCATCACGTGCAGTGAGATTCTGTTTCCTTCAATTTTGTCTGTTTGCACGCGGCCTTGTGTGGGACCTTGCTCGTTTGAGCCACGGGTAGCAATTACAACCGCAGCTTGCGTCTTGCAGTGACCGGATGTTGGTGAGTTCAGCTGAGAACAACGCTTGGGCAGTTGGCGCTTCACCGTCCTGATGCTCTCGAACATGGCATCGTAGACGTTACGCCGACCGGACGATTTTCGGCGTCGATGCCTTTGACCGGTGAACCCTGTTCGTAGGCTCTTCACGACCGGTACTGCGACCTGGCTGCTTTCGTGCTTCGGCTAGGTCCCTTGGTCTTGTCGGCGTGTTTTTTGCTTGGACGTGTAGCAGCCGAGTGTGTTTTCTTGTCCATGTGCATGTGTCTGCTCGGTATTCCAACCTATGCAGTTCCCACCGCCGGCACTATTTTGGTCTGCCTTGGGCTCCCCCTACGCGGCATTGAGCTTGCCTGCCAACGTCCAGCGCAGGAAATGACCTTTCGTAAGGATGTTCGGCAGACTACCTTGGCACTCGACCAGGAGGCCGAAGTCCGCAGTTGAATGCAGAGGTCCGTTGCTGGTGCAACACGGGCCAGGTTGTCACTGACGTCTGCCCACAGCCTGGACGGCGCCGCGTGCAAGCATCAACTGCAACAACAGAAGCCAACTAGGTGAATTCTCTGTTGTAACTGGGGAACAGGTCGTAGAGGAGCGCTGAATTGCGGCGCGAAAGGAGCGTGGTGCGTGGGTGCCCGCAAGGGCCCGGGCAAACTCGGCGATATTGGCGAGACACAGCAAGTGAAGGGCAGACGGAGATCCTGGTTCACAACGGACGGTCTTGGCAAGATCGAGCAAACTCAGAACGAGGGCCATAGCCATCCTTCGTGCAGGTAGCGTAGGGGCGAAGCAAGCCCTGTGCTAGCGGAACGCTGGCCACACCCCAGAAGCTCTGTTCAGCGGCCATTAGAGTGCTGATGCAATTAGGAGGGTTTTGCGATGTATAACATGTCCGGGTTTTCACCTGTGATGGGATTGTTTTTGCTCTTCTTTGTCAGATGCTTAATGGATATCTGTGCTCAGCCGGAATACCTTTGCAGTCCCGCACTGTGGCATTGTGAGGTAAAAACATACACGGTGCAGAAACCGATGATGGGCATGACTGCGTCCTTGTCCGCGGACGACAAGGCCCCCCTCCCAATCTGCATGTGTCTTTGCACAGCCTGCCCTGCTCAGGACAGTGTGCACTATATCTATGTTTGTGTGAAAGGAGAGGCGCGCCACCCAGCACCGGCATGTGTTTGTTTGCAGATCCCAGTCAGAGGTTGCCAAAGATGGCTGACGGACCACACAAGTGGCCACAGCTTGGTATGGCTCTTGGAAGACTTCTGCGCTTTCCAATTGTGCGGCGCTCGCAAGTGTTCACCACAGGACCCTGGCAAGAGCCTGAAGCCGACAGTGGAATTGATGTGCAGGCAACAAAAAAGAGGTCGCTGCAACGATTGAATGAGGACTAGAGAGCAAGTCGCTGCATGTTATGGCTCTTAAGGGCAACTGTTCTTCAGAAGCAGCCAAAATTCCGCTTTACAAGGTGCATCACTGTGTGTGGCGCACGGTGCGAATGACAGGTGACATCAATCGCCTTTTGCACTGCTGATGGAACGCCTTGATACCAACAGCATTAGCTCATTCCGTTTCACACGTTGAGCCCAACCAGAGGCTGAAAGAAGAGGCCTTTGGAAGAGAAACAGTCAGCTTTAGATATTGAGGGGGAAGGGGGGGGGGGGGGCGGGACGGCCACAAAATTGACACGCGATGGCATGGCTCGAGTTCCTCAACTTCCATGGATTCAACAGTTTTTAAGCCAGTGAGCGGCTCAATGCAAGCACGAGCTATTTCACGGAAAACAACTAACTCAACCCATATAGCCAGTTCACATACACCAAGAATCGCATCGCATTGTGGACGTGTTTGCCCTTCGTGCTGTTGGCATGGGCGCCAAAACAAAGGTTCCTGCGATTGACTTGTTTTGGCGCATCTGGGCGAAGCATGCGGGAAGGAGGAAGATGACGAAGTGGAAGACGATGAGGATGAGGTCTTCTGTTAAGCCGTTCAAGCCGTTCATGATGTTGTTGCACGCTGTAGCAGGATGTGCCGAAGAAGACCGGTGAGTCTGCCAAAGAGGTGTGGGGCTTCAGTTCCAGTCGTTTGTAGTCATTTCATTTGGTGCTGATGCCATGTCAGGCTAAACACCTGGACAGCCTGACCGATGCCATCGATGAGGAGAGCAAGTGCATGCAAGTGCTACTGTAAATGGGGTTTTGCGGCGTGAAGTGGACCTTCTGTGGACCTTAGCATTGTAAAACCGGAGGACAAGACCACGGCCTCCAAAGTTGATGCCAAAGAGGTGGAGCAGCGTTGAACCAATCAAATCAACACCATTTTCCTAGTTTTCTTGGTGCGTGGCAGGTGCAGGCTAAGTTGGACGAGTTCAACAAACGCAAGGATGGCCAACGTCAAAGTTTTGAGAAGGGTGAATGGAAAGATGCCCCCGCGTTGCATTAGGAGGAGGCCGATAGAAAGCGAGCCGAACGAGAGAAGCAACTTGCTCAAGAAAGGCTCGTTTGCTGAAAGGTTGTTTGGGTTGCTGCAGGTCGTGCCGCGCTGCATGTTTTCAACCGTTGTCATGCGCAGGATCAAGAAAGAAGACTTGGATTTGATGTGTACCGTACCAGCAATATGGTGACACGGTGACAGTCTGGTTGCTTTCTGCAAGTCGTTTCTGTTCTGAAGGCTCTGAGTTGCCACTTTGTGATCGGGATGTTCTCGAGCGTGCCGGCAGCCAAGCAAGATCAGAGACAGGTTCCACAGTCCACTTTGTTCGCTTAGTGTTCTCTTCAAAGATGTGTTGAGCCAAGCCCTAGCTGAGTTGCTGCGCGTCCACCGTGGCGATCTGAAAGAAGCACTTCGTTCAGCCGTCAGGAGGGTCTGTGCATGTGACACCGCTGACGATGTGCGTAACGCAGTTGCCAACATGCCAACATGCGTCAGAAGATGGTTTTGTCGTGGGAGATGCCTCGAAGCCAGGACATTCCCTACAAACAGCGCTTGAAGAACAAACAGGAAATAATCTGAGTTTGTGCCAGAATGGTCTTCAGCAGTCTGACACGGACAATCGCAACATTCAGCAAACCAGTTAATGTCGCCCTGTTTTTCAGAGAATGAGAGACGAGACCATTGGGTGTTAGTCGGCTTCAGCGCCGATTCCACAAGCTGAGTGGGCGAAGCGCCCGGGAAGTTTCGGCAAAGCATGCCGTTGCCAGAATGGCAGGCAACTTATGCGTGCACCACCACGTCCAAGTGACATTTTGACTTATTGACTGGAGCCTGGCTCTGGGGCCCCTCGCGTAGAAATCAACACATGTTGCATATCCAGCTTGCTAGATTGGAGGGCACGTCTATCCGATGCTACTTTCGCACACCTGGCTGTGATTTGGCTGTACTTGCAGACCCTTTGGCTCTGACATTCTGAACAGTGTCACCTTTTGCCGAGGTCGGGCACCTATTTGCAATCCTCATGAGTTTGCAATCACAAAGGGTAGAGTTGTTTGATGTAATTTCTGTGGTGCCAGCAAGCTGCCAGGCTGGGCCACCAGGCAGAGCTGCCAGGCAAAGCTGCCAGGCAAAGCTGCCAAGCAGGGAATAGAGCTGGCACTATTCGAAGCTTGGCTTGGCGACATCATTGATGCCGATGCAAAGAGATGCATAGAAACGCGCTCACAGGGTCCACGGTCCAGAGCACTTGTCACGTGAGCCTAGTTTAACCTGGCACCTAACTGTGCTGAGAGGCAGCAAAAGATGGAAGGTCCCAAGGGGGGCTATGTCGGCCTGGCTTCTGCAGGCAATCGATCAGGACGGATGCAATGACGGATCCAAAAGTGTTCCACAAGCATTCAAGCCATGATCGCCGTTTTATGCTGTTTTGCAGGGCCGTCTTCTCCCAGCGCAAAAAGCCCGCAGGGATCTGCGGCTCCCTGTCTGCAACGTGTCATGAGCCATTCTTCAGTGAGGTGTAGCGGTGTAGCGGCCTTGCAGAATTCCCGCAGGCTTTTGGGCGAGGAGCCACCGCAAGTCTTAGCCTTGTCCAGGCTGTCCAGAAGCTGGCGCTGAAAGAGGGAGAGCGAGACTCTTGCGCTGAGGCTCAAACAGGAGGATGCGGTCCAATCCGCCAGATCGGCCTGCCACGCCACGGGCGAGTCCAGAGGCCAATCTTCGATGTGCTGCAGTGTGCAAGGGGGTGACACGGTGAAAGGGTGCGCAAGCTTTCACTGGCTTGCAGGAGATGACGCCCAGAAGTATGGCAGGAGCTGGGATTTCTCACAGCAGCTGGGCACGAAAGACAAAAGCAAACAGATATTTTTTGCTTTGCATGCCGAGATACGCTGAGCATAAGGCCCTGCACCTCCAGCAGCTCCACAGGTCACCTTCTCTCGGCTTGGTCAGCTAGGCTTCAGCTAGGCTTCAGCTAGGCTTCAGAAATCCGCCAGGCGCCCCCGCCGGACCAAAGCAGCCGGCAGGCCATAACCATCTCTGGTTGCACGGGCAAGTTCCTTGCTCAGCTCGAACACCATGAGCCACCATGAGCCACCATGGGGCTCAGAAGAGATATCAGCAAAGGTATAAACTCATCAACGACACTTTTGAGCCAGAGCCTCAGTGAACGAACCTCTTCTGTTCAGGGATTGTTTTGCGATGAGATTCTGGACGACCTCGTGCGCGAGCTACGAGTTTGACAGGCCGTTGCAGATGCTGCACCAGAACAAGCCATGCTGGAGAGCAAGATCAGCTACGCCGGTCAGCAAACATAAGCTGGACAATAGCATGGAAGTTGTGAAAGATTTCTGATGTTTTGTTGAGGTGTACTTGTTCCACACCGGCAAGTCACGTTGGGTCATCAGCAAGAAGGTCAATGTTCCTGCCTTAACTTCTGTCAGTTCGTAATGACCCACATTTGAACACATTTGTCATGTCGTGTCGTAGTCCATGCCTTGTGGATCAGACTGCCGTGCTCCTGGCCCTGCTCAAGCATATGCTTTAGTTTGGCGCCGGTTCCCTGCGAAAGATACCTTCCTATTCGGGCTGCGCTCCCAGGCTGGTTGGAGAGTGTTGTGGAGTCAGAACGGAACTTGAGGAGTTTCAGGAGAGGGTTGAGCTTTGTTGGGCAGGACACTTGGGACATTGCTGGAGCCGATGCATGGCTGACACATGGCCCAAAGCGCTGCTTCTCTGGGTTTCGCTGCCGTTGTTGCTGTGTGTGCCTGGGCAGAGATGAGCTCGCATGTCCAGTGCCAGTAGCCAAGCCAGCCACAGTGCAGATTCTCGGGGCAATGCTCGACTGCATCCGAGGAGAGAGCAATCGAGTTGCATGATCTGAGGCTCGCTAGCAAACAGTCATGATCTTGAGCCTTAGCTGTCACGGAGCACCAAGAAAGGACAGACAGACACACCAGCGCGGCAGAGAGTCTGGCGGACCTAGCGCAAGGCGAACAAGGCCTCTGAGCCGTTGAGGTGTGCATTTGGAGATGTGTTGCAATGTTCCACACGCACGAATAGGTCGAGGTCCTATGCATGGCCAGAAGAACATTTTCGCCATGTGAGAACATTGGCAGTGCTCTGCAGGAGAACGGGCCTTTGGCACGGAGGCCAGCCCACGAAGCTTTCTACAAACCGGCAGTGAGAGAGGCTGGGCTTGAGTCAAGACGTGCGACTTGAAGATGGCAGTTGGCAGTGTTTTGCAATGTGTCTGTGACCTTAGGCCGGCGTGTCGCGTGGCTGCAGATTGATTTTAGCGTTCGCGTTGTATTGATGCTTTTGAGTGCTGTTTTCATTGGGCGCATCTTAGGCAAGGGATCCCGACCATGACGCTCCTGACCCCGAAGTGGCCTGTCGCATGCCAGAATTGCTGGTGCCTATGGCCCTTTGGCCATCGCTGTTCCGTTTTGCCGATGTCCCACTTTGCCAAGGAGAAGTTTGATGACGATATCGGGGTGGCCATCCTACAATTGCCGGAAGTTCCGGCCACGTGCCCTTGACGGCATTGTTTTCAAATAACCATGTGAGTACCCTGAGCTGACAGTGAGCCTCACGTGGCTTCGTGATTAGTCAGCCAAGGATGTACCGCAAGCTGAAGGCTGAGCTTGCATCAAATGGTCCAGTTGAGACTTCCGTCCAGGAAACGACTTTTGTCTGGAAAATTCATCCTGAGTTTGAATGCCTCCCTGTGTGCGATTCTTGTATTCCGGTGACATCCGGTGACCACATGCTGGCGTTAAGATGACTACAGAACCGCGCGCGCAGAGCAGGGTGATAGCATGCGGCAACCAAATTCGACCCAAGGGATGCAGCCGGTGATGAGACAATGAAAGATGCAGAGGAGTGGAGGTCGGCGGCACTTTGCTCTATGTTTGGGAAGCAACTGACTCAGTGACATCTTCACTGTTTGGACATGTTTACACACTGCATTTCAAATTTCGTTTTTTGCCGCTTGCACTGCTCGACGGCGTTGCAGGCAGTGAGCAAGACATATTCACCGTGCACATACACGGCATTACATGTTCGTGTCTTGCAGGGAGACAGAGAAGGAGCTCCAGCAAGCCACAGAGGATCTGGGCAAAGCATCACACAAGGCAATAACAGCAGGTAACACCCTTTATCGATTGCGATTTTGATTTTCTCCGAGCTCCTGCAACTTTCGCGCGCTCGACTTGAACTGTCAGGCCGCAAAGGATCTTCAAAAAGGCACAAAGCAGCTGCAAAAGGTGGGTTGGGGGGTCGTGGAAGTGACAGCTGACCTGTGGCTCACACTGGATCCTGAGCCCGATAGGCACGTTCTCATTCTGCCCAAAACATGGAGAAGGAGCTGAAGGGCTTGCGGTGCGTTGTGTTGCCGAGAAAGCCGCAGCGTCAACAGACGATCAGATGACCTCTGCATGTGAGGAGTTGGAGAAGGAGCAAGAAGACAGGGAGGATTGACTCCGAATGTTAGCTGGGCCATCAGAAGTGTGTTATGCCAGTGATCGAACAACATGTAGAGATGGTGAAGGTCAGCGAAGCTGAGCCTGGCCACATGACCATTGGCTGGCAACGGTAAAATCGGGTCGATTTGCCCTGACCTGCGATGCATCATGCGATTCTGCGCTTAACCGCCGGACCGGCGTGCCGTGACAACATATTACAACCATGAAGCGAACATGCTCTGACTGAGGACGGGGCTCGATGCTACGCCTTCGTTTCTGACAACAACTGTGCCGATCCGACACAGTGCCAAGGTCCATGGATTTGTTGTGGTTCGATCCTTAGTTGCGGATGCATCCTGGCGCAGCCTTCTGCATCGTGTATCAGCCTTCAGGCGAGGATGGACAGTGGAGGGAAGATAAGAACATCAAGTGCGTGCCTGCGAAGGCACTGTCGCATCTACTGGGCCAGACCTGTGTCCCACATGTGTCATCAAGAAGGTTTGTGGAATCCACACTATGCCCCGCAACAGCTGTGAGGCATCTCAGGACAAGTTTGTCCTACTCCGGAACGAGGCCTCATTGATTGCCACTCTTTGGCGTGCATGCTCTTTTGTTGTGAGCATGCTCAAAATTCCTGTGCCAGAAAGCTCTCCCATTGCTGAGACAAGTTGAACAGCTGGGGGGTAACACAGCCACCTTTTGCAGATCCACAGGGACTGTTGTCAGGTGGATTTTTGGTAGTTTACAGACGGTCTCGACCAGATCCAAAAGACATTTGCTGTGTTGCACGTAAACCAAAAGCCTTTTTCCTGTATTAGCGCCGAAGAAGCCATAATGTTGACGAATGCAACCAGCGTTCGGTTTCAACACAGCTCCGTGCCATGCGTCGACATGCGTCGACGTGTTCTCGCAGTTCTCTTGACATCTTTTCAGAATCCATGCTTGGCGCAGGTGGAGGAGGACTTGAAACACTTCGGCTTGATGGATTCCAACTGTAGCTCCGCTGCATGCTTCCGCGGACACGGCGTTTGTTTTGATCAACATCTGGCGTGAAAAGGCTTAAAGCAGCTGTGGAAGAAACTTGATGCGGACTGGTCCTCAATCGGCCTTCGAGTGAGTGTGCCAACTTCATTCCATCCTTTTGCCCAGAACGGCAACAATGTCGTCAGCCTTGCAGAGATTGACAACCTCGTTGTTGACATGGTCAAGGCTTGGATGGTTTCGGGCGTGTGCAGGGTTCGACGACCTTTGGCCCCGGCATGCATGAGGCAAGCATCTGGCCGGAGTGGGTCAACAACAAGGATGCCATTCGCAGGGCTTACGAGAAAACGATTAAGCGGCTTGTTTGCACAGAACAGCTGGGTTGTGCACACTGCACACGGCAGAGTCTGAGCCCGAGGTTGGATGGTGATGGGGATGACTGGGTGGAGAAGGACTTTAGTCCACGGTGCTTCGGCGTGTCATGACGTGTCACGCAACATGCATCGATATTATTGCACATGAGTGAGCAAACCATGCCTGTGACACTCGAGCATCGCAGGAGGAGTTCCATTCATTGCTCCTGAATCTGTTCTGGTCGCTGTGCTTTACTGCTCAAGCATGACAACTTAGGTCTTGTTGTAATTGGTTCCAAGATCCCTTTTTGCCGTCAGGTTTGGCCATGTCCATCGCATCTTTGAGGAGATCGACACGACCCTTGCTTGTGTTTTAAGATTGCAGGCTTTGTTGCCCAACCCATGTTGCTCATCTCAGAGATGCCAGCCAGCATGGCATGAGCACAACGTGAGTGTCTTGCCAAGGAGCCATGATGGCAGGATAAACTTGGATGAGTTCACTGCAGGAATGGCGCAGCAGGAACCTTATGGAGCCTGACTGGGTCTGATTGGTCTGCCTCATGGAGTGCTGCAAGACACAGCTTACTTGTTTTAGTTGCCGTGTCTGCTCCGCCGCTTGCGCTACCCTATGTTGTTGCTTAGGCTCGATATTCACCTTTCTCCAGAAGAGGCGAGAAAGGAGTACAGGACTGTGTCTCAGCTCTAGCCTAGTAGCAGGTTCCACGTGTTTTCACAGTTTCAGCCATGCACTGGACAACTGCAAGTACTATCGACATTGACCATGGTGGGATGATCCTCTTCACAGAGTTCTGCGCGTACATCAGAAGGCTGCACAACATGTTCTCGCAAGACGTCGCTCATGGTAGAATGCGGCATGTCTGGAGCCCCGGAGGCGGATACATCCAGACCACAACCCCGCTTTTGACGCAGACATTGTCCGCCATGCAAAAGATGCAAAATAGCAGATATTTTCAGTTTTCGCTGCACTCATGGGCCGCGCGAGTGTGGCATCTTGCATTCTTCATGTGACAGGTATCCAAAGACAGATCCAATGATACTTTGCGGAAGAAGCACGGGGATAGGGCAAGGGACCCAGCAGATCAAAACTAGACGGAGTGCGAGCTTGAGCATAGTCCATGCCATAAATTGCATAGATCGTCAGTGCTTGCTTCGTCACCAATGTAGGGAGACCGCCGTGAACACATCAGGCGACCCACGGCCACTTCGTAAATAAGAAGACGCTCGCAGACTTCGACAAGCTTGAGAAGGAGTTGAAGGCTCATGCAGTGCTGTCACCGTGTTGTTGCAGGCCAGCGACATTGCGTTGCACATTTCCCACAGGAAGTATTAAAGGCCAACGACCAGACACAATTGAAAAAGAATCTGAGCTGCACTGGACCTTCGCCGTGTGAGCCGTGTGGCTATTGAATGGATCTCTGCTCAGGATGTGGAAGCGCTTGGACTTCAATGGCAACAATATCGTCTCCCTTGCAGAGGTGAGCAGCTCAAGTGGTCGACGAAACGTGTCCCTGACACATGGATGAGGTTGGCAAGATGGTCAATGAGCAGTATCCAGTGCTCAACCATCAGCCCGCGTTGATGCGCGCTTTCAAGGCAACCCTACAAGGAGGATTGGGCATGCATATGGTCTGTGTCACGATGACGCCGCGAGAAATCCTGTCTTGCAGAAGGAAATGGGGATGAGTGGGTGCAGAAGAGTGAGTTCAAGATGCTTCTCGGCCTCGCCCCCAGGGATGCAAAATTGCCGGACCGGACCCTCAAAAAAATCGCATTTTTTTTCAGGCAACCTTTTCTACTTCAACAAGCTCTACTGGCTTTTCGACCAGGCTGTCCTCGGCGGTCTCCTGAGTCCGGTGCCCGTACCCAGTGCCGTACCTTCCGCCTGTGACAGGTAGACGAAGACCACGATAGGAGAATGACTTTGAAGGAAAAGGGTTTGTTTATCGGTGGATTTCTTTGCGCAACATTGACACAGTGCACTGGAATTGAATTTCTGGGTGTTCAGGAGTTCCAGTGGTGCATGTCCGTGTGTGGCATCAAAATGTCACAGGCCAAGTCTGAGGCCGCGCCCATGCTCCATGGTCTGGCAGCAGTTGAAAATAGCTGAAAATAGCTGAAACAACTGCCGGGACATGTGTCAACATGTGGACTGTGGAGGCAGAGTTCAAGAAGATCGACTTGAATGGCGGTGGAATCGTTCTTTTTGATGAGTATCTTGGCCTCATTTGCTCTTGAGCCTCACCAGAATGATGCGGACTTTAGGGAGGATCGAAAGGGGTTGCGTGACTTGGGCTCTTGGGAGCTCTGTTTTGCATTCTTCGTTGAGCTCCGGTCCGCCGGCAGCTGCCCAGATCTTGCTCAGGTTTTGCCGATACTTCACGGACAAACACTGCCCAGAAGCCATGAAGGACTCTTGCAAGAAGACCCAACACGAACATTTTCATCTGCACCAAGGCGAACATACGAAATTGTCTTCACACGTTGGAGGCATACTGCAACAGGATCTTTGTGTTATCTGTTGCCCCTAGAAACAGAAATGCTGTGCGTTCAAAGAGCATCATCAGGAAACATGTTGCCTCCGCAGGGCTTAGGATCTAGACAAGGCCAAGGAGCGAAACACAGTTAATGTGACGCACAGTTCAAGTGAACCACGCGCAGTGTTCAAATGCAAGTGAACACCCAATGGCGATGCGCGAGAGCCGGACATGACCATGGCAACGGCAAGAGTCTGTGCGGAGGAGTTCGTGGACGATCTGTGATGCGATCTTGGGCATTCTTGAGCCTTTCCGACCCTTTGGGCTTGCGTCAAGGCTTGCGTCAAGGGTCGGGAAGCGTGCGTCTCAGCATTGACTCAGTCAGCGTGCTCTGTCGCCCGTACAAGTACTCGTAGTATGTTTTCCGGCAGGGGACTGCAGCAAAGCAGGATGCGTTATCCTAATGAGTCCTTTCAGCCTCGTTCATCCTGCGGTGCTGGTAAGTCTGCTGCTCAACATGTTTCACTTATACATCCCCTGAAGTCTTTGTCCAGCTTTGTGTGGAGCTTAACATGCGTGTCCGTCAAGCTGAGTGCTCAGCCAGCTCCACAATGCCAATGATTCGGCTCGGGGAAAAAGCAAACAAAGGAGGAGGTTTTGCGAGGCGAGGCTGGGCTTCTCGTTGGTGTAGCGGTATTAGTATGTATTAGTGGTGCAGCGGAATCCAATGTGCTTACCGCCTCTGCAGCACCGGCTTAAGACAGCGAACAGTCTTGGCCCAGCCGCCGCAGAGTAAGCATGAACCATGTGGATAGGCCGATAGGCCAGAGTGCAGTAGAGAAATGTGATCATGTTTGGAGCAGAATGAAAGTACAAGTCAGGAGAAGAGCTTCGGGCTGGACCTAGTTTGGCTGAACCTAAATTGTAATGGAATGAACCACATCCATTCGCAGAAGCCTGGCCATGCTCTCCTTGCCGAAAGCTTTCCGAGGCAGACACGATACTATGGGGCAGAGTACCAAGCTTCAGTTCTTTGTTTTTTTTTGCCCACTGCTCCCACTCGCTCTCTCCCTCCTCTCATCTGCGGCCACGGGTGCCCTGGGCTTCGGCCGCATTGGCTTTGGGCTTTCGGGGCCGCAGCGGGCCAGGAAGGGCAGGGGTGATGTACAGCAAGTCGGCAAGTGGTCCAGTGGCCTGGCACAAGCTCAATTGAGTCAACCACGTTATAGTCTTGTGCGGAAGCAGGCCGGTCGAAAATCCAAATGTTTTGAAGTTTAGCTGTCGCCTGTCACTGTTGGCGCGGGACCCGGGACATTCCCCACTCTCTCCACGACAGGCCACTAACAGGGCTCAGGAAGTAGCCAAGCACCAGAACGTAGCAACGTGCATGTTACCAACAACAACAACAACCAAGAAGCGAGCAATCGCCAGGGCAGGTAAGCAACCCATGCAACCCAAGGCCCAGGTTTGGATGTATCGGCCGAATATGGATTGGGGATGTCTTAAATGAAGACAAGGGCAGAATGTAGAGAGGACCCCCTCAGGAGCCGTGCGAAATCTGGTAAACATCCTCGAACAGTCCACGTAGACACCGTGATGTGCGTTGAGTAGCCGGTATTAGTGAGTTGGCACAGGAGAGGTGCCAACTGAAATCCGGCTCAATAATTTGCGCATTTGTTAGCTTTCAACTCAGTTCCGCTCTCGCCAAATGTACCATCGCTAGAAAGGCCCTGGCATGCAGAGCATTAGATCTCGTTTGAAACTGCTTTTGGTTACTTTGGTGTAGGGACTTCGTGTCGAGATTGCCGCAACATGAAAGCGTATTGCAGAATTCCTCAGGTGCAACCTTGGAAAAGGCAACTTCTGCAGAAGCTAGGGCACTGTCTTGCAGCCGCAAGCAACCTTCCAGCCGCAAGCAAGACTTGTCCAGCTTTCCTACTAAGCCCGAAGCCCCAAAGGCCCCTGAGGCCAAACAACCAAGAAGTGGATCAGTGGAGAAAGCAAAGGTTTCCTTACTTCGGGTCCTTGTGAGCCCTTGGAGTCATAAGTGGGTGGAAGCAGAGACGCAAAGATGCCAAGAGTTGGTGTCGCAGACAGGACTTGGACTGTCTTTGTAAACTCCAAAGGCGCTTTCTCAAGCTAACGCTGATATGCTGTCACCAAAAAGCTCTCTGGACCAAAGCTGATTTTGGGAGGGCAGGTCGGCTTAGTGAAGCGATGCCTATATCAATCCCCTAACCGGTCTCAGCGCAAAACCGAAAAGCAGGTTGCATGATTGGGTTCGATGTGCCCATGTTCGTGTGCCCAGACAGATGCCAAAGCCTTACATCCCGAGAGACTATTGGTCGCTTTGGACAACCTGGGTCCCCTCTGTGTCTTTCACGTGGGGTTTTATGCTGGTGGGAAAAAGTCTGTAGACTGCGTGTGCGAATGCTAAATCTGGACTTCTGAAGCCATCCAGAATGCACGCCTGCGAACATTCAGCAATCAAGAGAATGTAAGGCGCAAGGTGTGCGGTGCTTTTGAGTTCCTTGTTTCTTGTGGTTGTGGACGGACTTGCTGAATGATTTATGGGAGTTTTGTGGTGCAGTTAAGGGCATGAAGAACGTCGTGTACACTCGTTTATAGGACCTTGAGGAGCTTCGGAGTTGAGAAAGCTGTGGAGTTTCACGGTCAAGGCTGTTGCTCGCATCCAGCAACATGCCGGCAGTCTCGGTTTTTATGATTACGTCGGGGTTGGGAAGGAAGTTCAGGCTCTGGTCTCCAAAGTTTCGGTGCGCACAGCATCCAAAGATGAGCGTCACTTCGTTGTGTTCGTTGTGTGCTTTTAGAATTTTTGATGTTTTTGTTTGAAGCCGCAGTGATTGATGTTTTGGTATTGAATTGTGTGCAGTTGCCGGCAGCCGGGTGCAAGCTTTGCTGGTGACCCAGCGTAACATTCATCGGGTGCGCCCTGCATTTATGAAGCGAGTTGCTGTGCCTGCCTGGTCTGATCCTCAAGAACGCGCAGGCTCCTGGGCTACCCTGGACCATTTACCACCCGCACATTCAGGCCGGATTGTCCTTTTTTGTACCGGCTCCCCTAGCAGTGGACCATGCTTTGTTCCGAAAGGAGCCAGAGCATACGGAGAAACTTCAGGGCGAGACCAAGGGCCTTGCCAGGAGAGCGCATTCTAGTTTCTTGAGGAGAGTTAGAGTGATGGAGCGGTGATGGGGATGCTGTTACGAGATGCAGGTACATACCCAAGAATTACCGCCACCAGCAGTTCATAGAATCTGTGAGGTCCGGTGAGTGCCCCGCCCGTGGCTTTCTCAAATTTGCGTCTCGAAACTGTCTCGAAGCGGGGCCTGCTGCAGGTATTTGGGGCCAGATTGGCCGTACAATCTGCTGAGCTCCGTCTTTTGGAAGGCGCGTGCTTGTCTTGCGGAGACATTGAAGCATGAAAACCACGCAAGGACATAGGTACGGTGTGTTTTTCAGGAAATCGCGTCGAGCAATCCTTCACTGCGAAGGAGCGACGCTACAATGCCTCCTACAACCCGGTTCCGCCGGACATGTCCGTACTTCCAGGCATTTGTCGGCAGTTGCACTTGTACGTGTCAATTTACAAACTTTTGATACATGTCAATGTACAAACTTGTCAAGGTATTTTGTTCTTCCCAAGACTGAATGTCTGGTGCGTGGAGTGGTGGGAGCAGGCGGGCTTGCAAATATGGTAGCGTTTGTCACTATAGCTTAAACAGTGCTGAGTGCAGCTGGAGCTTACACAGGACAAGCAACGTTTTCGTTGGTTCAGAGCGAACTATGGCTTCATGCGAGCCAAGCAGCATGCGGAGGACTGGCTGGCAGATCTTTGCAGCCGCCAAGTGCCTGCCGTAAATTTTGTGCAGGACTTTCGACGGAGCCTGATCGAAGCAGGTCGCACCTGGCTCAGACATTTTGATATTGTTTGGGGGAAGCGGATCTTCAGATGCCGGCCTTGCAACGACCTGAGCACTGCTCGACAATCGACCCATCCGATTCGTGAGGTATCGACAACTGTCGCACGGATCGAGAGATCCGCATTCAGCAACTGGCTCGCGCTGCGCTCGGCTCGACAGAGCCATGTGCTAGGCATGGCTAGCCTGGATATCCATCATCGTATGTGCAGGCATCGAGGCAAAGAAGCTTCGGACGAAGAAGTTCTCAAACAAAGATGCTCGCCGCCTGGGCAATTCAGGCGGCTCTAACATATCAGACAACATCAAAGAACGGTTCACGAGTCAATTTGCAGCCAGGCAGCAAGCAGGGGCCTCCGCGCGCTGCGCGGCGTGACTACCAGAAGAGAGGCAGATTGCCCATCACTCTCCGCTCGTATCCTTGCGTATCCTCCCTGTCCCCCTTGTGGTGGCATAGTGTCGTGTGTGTGTGTGTGTGTGTGTCGTTGCCTCCGCCAGGCCTGCTGCCCTGAGCTCCTTCCCAAGAGCTCGGCTGTCCAAAAAGGGCACAAAGCTGTGGGGTCTAGGGTTTCAGGGGACAAGATTGTAAATTTGTCCATGTAGGCGACCGAACTTCCTGCACTGATTGCCTTTGCCAAGTTTGTTTTGGCCAGCCTCCTTTTGCTTCTGCTACTGTACTGAATGAGTGTGCGCGTAGTAGTTACAAGGATGTCTTGCATGCAGCTTCAGTCTACCAGTTGGTAGTTCCTCCATTTGAGCTTTCACATGCACATGGGAATGCCTGTTTTGTTGGGCAGGATATAGTCCAGTCGGGGGCTTGTGGGGACTCATGCTAGTTAGTGTGGCTCTTCAACCAATAAGCCCACACATCTCAGCTCGAAAGGCTGTCTACTTCTGGAAACTTTGGAATTTACCGGAGACATCCTGTTGGGCTCCCGTCAAAAAATGCCATGAATTAACTGCGCCACAATGCCGCCGCAGATGTTTTCTGTTCAGCCGCCAGGAAATTTGTCTAGTATTTCAGAGCATGTATCTGGCGGACCTGCACACCACTTGGCACATTTGCTCACAGCAAGCACGATTGACAACAAGCAGTGGCATGCTGCAGACTGGCATGCGTGATGAAACGTGAGTCTTCCGTGAGAGGCACCGCTCCTACGCAAGTAGATTCTTATGGCAAAACTCTGTTCTGCCAGGGCCAGACCAGTCATCCTGTGATGGTCAGATGCCAAGAAATGAGAGGACAATTCTTGGACTGTGTTCATTCTCTGTTCATCCTGCGAGGCAAAGTCCATCAAGTTGCGGGACATCACCACGGAGCTGAACGACTGCGTGGCTGCCTCGTAAAACGGCACTTCAATAGACTCTGGAGCATGGTGGAGCACTGAGGTCTACACCAGCGGGAAGTATCCATTGCTGGTTGACACAACGGGCCAAGCATGTCAATTCCTGAAGTACCGTGGGCAGCTGTCTCAAGGGTGACGCTCAGCATTCTCAGCGTGCTCGGTTGCAGACTCATGGGCTCGGACTGAGTCGCTATCTCTCGATCCTCAAGAAGGGCGACTTCGAGAAAGATAACCTTCGGAAAGCGCTGGTGCAGGCTGCCATTGGGCGACTTTGGAAAGATGAGCATGTTGAGACATCTTGTCAAGGCGTATTTTGTTGTTTTTGGACGCCTTTGTCTTGGAGGTGGACACGTGAGTGAGCGACCTGAAACAATGAGAAACAGCTCCTGGTCACTCACCAGTGAGGAGCATCTTGAACATACAACAACAAACGCCGCACAACAAAAAACGCCGCCGCAACTGCAGCCCAAAGAAAGCTCTGGCAACCGCTGCAATAAACCACCCCGCTACGCGACAAAAACACCCTCACCAGAGCATCGCTTGTGATATACGTGTCCATGACAAGTGAGCTCCGTGAGATGTGCAGGCTCTTCACAATGGGGCCTGGCTGGTCCTCGACTTCGATAAACTTGATTGCGATCTCCAGTCCTACTTCGACAAGGAGTGCGGGTCACCGCGGGTCTTGCGGCTGATGCACCAAAAACCCACAATCCCTGCTTGATTCGTCGGCCTGCTGGCAGTTCAACGATGGATCTCCCGCAATAGGACTCTTTTCCAGAAACGGTTCTATCTCCACATGAGCTCTTCCTGGAGGCATTGTTGCGCTTTGCAGTTCATAGCACCAGCAAAACCACTCAAAAGTTGGAAGTCTTTCGTACTCCGCAGGAAAACTACACTCCGCTTTTACGTCCCACAGATGAGTTTGCGGCGAAGGTGCCCTGAGAGGTCTACAGACTCTCTCAGCCTTTGCCCAGAGTGCCAAAGCAGTGCAACAGGTCACCTACGAACATCAGGCTGCCCTGGCGGAAGGCGCATTTCAGGCGGGTCTGCCCCAAGTTTGCGCAGCAACACTGGATGCTGTGCAGTGCATGCGCGCAGGACAGGACAAAGTGCCATGCCCCTGAAAGAGTTGCGGATGTGAACAAGAAGCGGGGCTCCAAGGCAAAAGTGCTGTGGTCCTGCCAGATTGGGGAACGAAGCGCTGCAGCTGAGGTTCGATCCCAAAGATGCTTTCCGTTTCGTGCTGGCGACAAAGCAGGAGGACAGCCAAATCTGTTTAGTTCATGAAAAAGGAGTAAGAAAGGCATACTGCGCGTGTTTGTACGTGTTTGTACACGTTTGCCATTGCCAGCATAGCCTCAGGAGTCTCCTGCTTCCTTGGCAAACAAGATGGTGCTCCTCAAGGCACAGCTAGAGAGAAAGGATGTGTTCAAGCCCACCGCGTCCATCATGCCGGATCGTTGCGTTCGGAAGGTGGATGTTTCGGAGAGCGAGGTGAAGGCACGAGGAAAATCGATGCAAAGAGCTGGCCTTCTAGTTTCCGCGTCGCAGGAGAACGCTGGAAGGTGGGCTGGTCGTGAGCAGCCCAAAAAGGAGAAGTCCAAGGAGCAGGTGCATGTAGCCACACCTCGACCTGTGGAGTCAACCAGGCACAACTGCAGAGAACCTTGAAGCACCCGCTGCAGATTAAGATGGATGAAGAGCTGCTCGAGTTCGCATTCGATGGTGAGCTGCAGGCCGTCGACGACCGGCCCAGGGAGCCTCCCAGTTTCCCTTCTCTCCTTTCTGCAGCACCTGAGGAAGTCCAGAAGCTGCTTGACAAGTCCGCAGACCCCATGGCAAAGGATCCTGCACATCCTGCCTCGCACGGGTAGCGCCTCGAACGCCTTCGCAGCTCCGGCCGCGTCCTCTGCACCTCGATCAGGATGGTCGTGGGAATACCGCGCTCTCCGAAGCAGCAGTGCAAGGCAGCTGACAGCACGTAGATGCGCGGTGCAAACTTCTCTTGTTTTCTGATGGCAAGTCTAAGTGACTTGGTAAAATAATTGACGTGTTCTTGGGCTGCAAACCTGGACCATGACACCTCCAATCTCCAGACTGTCCCATCCTGTCACAAAGAGACGTGTTGGCATCGGTGAGCCCCCAAGCCCAAGCATATTCCAAGCGGGGACGTGGCAGATCGAATCTCAAGTGTGGGAAGAGAAACGACGAACTTAGGCAGAACGCAACTGGATGGCGTGAGCTAGTGGTCCAAATGGCAAAGTCCGAGTGACTGAAGGCCACTTAGAAGTGGTGAAGTGCCTCTTGGTGCTGGCCTCAGTTAGAGGGACGGTGTGACGTTTGATTGCTTTTCTCTGGTCACCTGCTCTCATTCAACAGCAAGGATTGGAAGGCGCGCGGCTCCATGGGCTTCCGTTGGACTGTAACATAGAGCTAGAACCCATCGTAAATTTTGTGCCAAATCGTGCTACCCCCAATGCTTCCTCGGAGAGGCGCCCATCGGGAGTGATCCGAATGCAGCAGGCACTCTTCGAACCGCAAGAGCCGGACCTTGCGAAACGTGTAAAGACGGTGTAAAGACGGCGTGAAGACGGTGTAAAGATGCTTGAAGATGCTTAGCAAGCTGAATCACGCACAGGCAATGATGGCCGCACGGCTCTCCATCGGGCTTGTTTTCAAGGACACCAGGCACCTGCGACTCCATCATTGGCTATCTTTTGGCTTGAGCTTGAGGAATGTGACATGTAGGTACATGTCGTCATCTGAATCAGAGTGTGGCGTCCAGGCAGTGGCCCAGCTGCTGCTAGAGCATGGCAGTGACCCTCGCACCAAGGAGCTGGCCCTAAACAAACGTTCGCCTTCTTCCATCCGACTTTGCATGTGTCCATATCAAGGCTCCACGGTGCTGCATTCTCGCATGCTCTTCCTCTGCGAGCGTGGGAAGTGTGTTCTGCCGCTCTGCCATGAGTTTTCTCGTTGTAGCGAGGACCGCCACGGTGAGCTGCCCTACGACATGGCAAGCAATGATGAGACCCGAGCAGCTCTTGAAGCCTTGGGCCCAGAGCCCCGAAGTCTCTGAGACTCTGAGTGATGCGAAAAGAGCCATTGGGAAACCATATTTCAGCCAGACACTTCCACCTGAGGCCTGGGATGCCTCAAAAACCGACACTCTGAAAGAGGCACCCGTGGATGTCACCCCTCAGTTCGCTGTTTTCTCATTTTGTACGCCAGCAGGAAAGGTCAAAAGCCGTGGACGCGGAGGACGAGAAGAACGTTCGCAACGAAGAGGCTGTCAACTGTTGCGGGCCCCGCAGTGCTTTCTACGCCTTGTCGCTCCCTTGTTGCTCTGCTTTTTGCTTTAGGAGCGCTTGCAGCTGGCACGGCGCAAGAAAACCGCCAAGCTCTGTGAGCTTACAGAGCCGGGGCCAGAGGGGGCCGCAGGAAACATGCACACGGAAGTCACGGAATGTGATGTTCTGGGAGTGTTCGGAAGCATCTGGAAGCAAAGTGCGGTGTGGAATAGTCAATAGTCACTGAGGAAAGGTGAGAAGGATGCCCTCGAGCTCGAACTCCTAGACCTTGACCGCAAAGAGGTGGCCACATACCGGGACGACCGTGGGAATAGCATACTCCATTTGGCGGCCGCTCATGGTCTGGCTGGCATGGTTTTCGCCTCGCGGGGATGCGGTGTGTCAGCGACATTCAGCGACACTGTTTCCAGGTCGCCAGGAAATTGTGACGATGCTGTTCGAAAGCTTTGGTGTTGAACTGAGTTTGCGATGTTCGTCCGCTAGGCTCGCTTCGCGGCTTTGTTGCAGCTGCCGGATGCAATGCAGCTGTGCTGAGGCTTCGCAGCAAATCCGCGGGACTCCAAAGGGTGGACACCGGTTGCGGTGGCTGCATTTCACGGCCACAAGAAGATTTGCCAAGCCTCAGCCCCAGTGGTGTGGAACAGGTGCGGAACATCTGTGGGTCCCCCCTGAGCCAATCCATCTTTTTGCTGCATCCTCCGGTATGCTGCCCAAAGCAATGTCGCGTGCCATTGTTTGAACGGTCCCAAGGGATCCCGGGACGGGTGAGGACCGTCTTTAAAGTTACTAGAGAGACTCTACGTACTCAAGCCATTCCGAAGCCGCAGATTCGGATACAGGCAATGGGAAGCCCGCAGGGCCGTAAGGGGTGGCGAAACAGGTAACTCAAAGCTGGGGTCTGGGTGGGGTGAAGCACGAGAGTGGGAAGAACAGTGCGGGCCCTCACTGGACCATTCAAAAACTGCGACTTCAGGATTGGAGATAAAGTTTTTGCCGCGGAGCGACTGATGATACTGCCATGTGGGTGAGGGCGGAGGGTCATGAGACTGCAGAAAGTGCGGGTCGCACTAAGCCCCGTGCGTCGTGGTTGCTTCTTGTGTCACATAGGTCGAATGTTACCCATGAGGTTCTCATGGCCAAGAAAGCCGATCCCCAGATTGAAAATGCTTACAGGCCCTGCAGCCTGTGCATGTGCCTGCCATCGCTGGCCTTGCGGACTGATACTGAGCTGGAAGGAAGGATGCCTTTGCCGTGGCCAAGGATGACGAGATCAAAGAGACACTGAAGTGTCTCCGCCCTGGAACCTTCGTTTCTGAAACTTGAAAAGCTTCTCAGACCAAGAACTAGAAGCAAGTAATAGCAAGTAGTCCAGCTTCATTGTCTGTCACAGCAAATGATGTTTACTGTTGAACATGGAAGTTCATCATTATTGTCGTTCGTGTCATTACTTTCATATTTCATCATCATGCTTGTCATTTGGCAGTGAAGGTCTCCAGAAGCTTGGAAGGGTTTACTGTAAACAAACCCTCCCTATCTTATGAAGAAGGCAAATAGATAAATAGGTAAATAAGCAAATAAATACTATATATATATACCAGGCTTAATTGCACTGCATTTCCTGGATTTTTCAATGCCTCCCAAACAGAATAGTCAATAGTCTTCGCCTCAGATTTATACCTATTCGTGCAATCAGGTGTTGATGTGCCATCCGAGGCTCTGCTGGATGCTTGCAGTTTGCACACCCAACCTTTTTCGGCTCTCTGCGTGCAGGTTCCGGCTGTGGCAGCAAGTGGCTCCAGCGCAGGCAGCGACCACCACGAGAACCACAAAAACACTTGCCAAAACATGCCAGCGGGGCTGGACGCGCACCGAACCGCGCAAGGAGCCCCGAATCCAGACGAAGAGGCTCCAGCCGAAGAAGCGGAGCCCGAGAAGGCCAAGGCCTGGAGTCCGTCCACATCCAGCCACATCAGTCGCAGTCACACTGGGGATATCCACAACTGCCTCCCCGAGTCGCCTCCGAGTCGCCTCCCCTCCGATTGATTTGCTTCTGTTTGTCTTCAATGATCGAGGCAAAAGCCAAGGGCAAGGCTGGATGGGACAGATTGAGACTTGATGTCAGCTTCACCCGGACGATACCTGGTACTGACTTAGCAGCTTGCAGTCGTAAATGTTTCTTGAGAACCACGTGCTCAGAGGCTACTCTTCGATCCTGTACGTAGTTCTCGGGTTTTGTCAAAGCCGAGAACACATCTGTGCACTGTGCCGATGCGTGACAATGCCTTCCACCAGGCAAAGGCCGGCGCAAAGTCCGGCTTGGTCCTCGGATGTCTGCATCAGATGAGTTGGAAGCACGCGCTTTGTCTGTATCATGTGCTCAAGGTGGCAAGGCAAAGGCTAAAGCCAAAGGGCGTTAGCCGCACTGTCGGGCCAAAGTGCCCTGCTTTGACTTGGAGAGCAAAGGAAGTTCAGCATGCATTCACGAGCAGTTTCTTGTGAATGACTAGGCATCGGTGGTCACCAATGGCAAACGATGATGCAAGATCAATGTACAGACCACGCACGACTTGAATGCTTGCGGTATGCTCGGTATGCAGCTTGAGTTTGGTCTAACATAACTGTTTTGGGAAGCCGCATACAACATGTTGAGTACATGTTCTACATTTGGCAGCCCCATGAAGAGCCGAGAGCATCTGACGACTGTGTTTTGTCTCATAGCCGAGCCTGACCAAGATCCGCAGATAGCACACCAACATAACAACTCAAAGCTTTTACCAAGCTCTTACCAGGCCCCGTGGCTGCAGCCCACGTCAGTGCCATGCGCTACGGTTTTTCGAGAGACGTTCCGAAGGAGGCCTCTTTCTGCATTCAAAACTCCAGCTCGACTTGAGCGCGGAGGTATGAGAGCTAGTCGTGTGCGTTGGCCGTGTTTTTGCCGTGCTCCCAGCAGGCTTGATCGGCATGGAGAGCAATGAGAGAGAAGGAGCATCAGGCACTCTGCGGTCCGGAGCAGAAATGAGCAGAACATCACACAACATCGCAGAACCAGCTTGCCAAGATTTGACTGTTGTGTCTTGTATGCAGGTGCTCTACGACGAAAGTCCCAGCATGCCGGGCGCTCTTGAAAGTTTGTATGGGAAATCCCAGCATGCTTGCCAGAGAAAATTTCGATGCAGGCCATCGTGGCGAAATCACGCCAGCAGAAAAACCCAATCATCAATTGCGTGAGGCTTCGTGTCTCAGTTGTGCTCAGTTGTGCTTGGCATGCGGGCGACAGGACTGTCCTGGCAGGTCCACTCACATTGATTTCGTTGAAGACAGCGAGCTCAAGCCAGATTTCTTGGCAGGCACCCTTTTCCCGTGCTCGAGTGCGGAGGCAGTTTGAGGCAGTGACGCTGGTGCATTCGGTGCTTTGCTAGTGGATTCTCCTTTCTGTTCAAGGCTTCATTGTGACCAGGACCAGAGACAGCCGTGATTTTCATCAGCCTCAAGTTCCAGTGTCCTGTCAGCACTTGATCATGGCTTAGTTAGACTCACTGCAGCGCCATGACATGAATTCTGGCACGGGGCCAAGGCGAATCCATCAAGAATACTTGAAGGGGCGCGTGCAAGCTTTAGGCTTGCCATGGGTCCATGACTGGCAGCATGATCGGCGAGGGAGCAAGTGCCTCTTGAGCAGGTGACTTTCGCAATCGCGTGCTGCTCTGCCGAGTGGACCTGGAACAGCCCGATGAGAGCTTGGAACAGGACTCCAGGGTTTTGACTCATGTTTGTTCTCTTGTGCAGGCTGCGTCTCTGGCGCTTCGCCAGCCTAAGTTGCGCTCATGATGCTCGCTTATGCGAAGAATTGGGCACCTGCTGCCCTCTAGCCGACTCAACCTTCGGTTCCTATTTCGAAGGCTCATGAGGCTCTTCTTTTTTAGGGAAGGCAGGTGAGGATCTTTTACTGAGAGCTCCTCCACCCAAACCTGTAATCCCGTAGCCGCAGCCTCAACTTGATCTTAAACTCTACGCCCCACCACCCAACCTTCAACCCTCGACCCAAACCCGAAGTCCTAAGGCCAGAGAAGTAGATTAGAGTCTATGAGTTGCACCAGGTGTTGTGCGCTCTTACAGTGCGGTGGCGTTAGGTGGTCGGCTGAGCCTGGTGCCCGAAAGAATGGCGGTCTTGGAGTGTATTTAGAGATTTAGAGATGAGATGATTTGTATTGAACATGTTTAACGGGTAGAGACGGTAGAGTGGTGTCCTCAGAGAGTCTCACGGTGTGATTTGTTCTCCCTTTTGAGAGTCGCCTCTGTTCGGTGGAGGTGTTGTCTTTTGTCTGTCGCATGCGAGAGTGAGCGGCGAAACTCGAGACGCTGAGCTCCGTAAGCCACAGACAGATGTGGAGGGGGGGGGGGGTGGCTCCGCGCCCTGATCATACATGGGGTGTTATCTTGAGGGTACTAGGAAGAGAAACCTTGCTTCAAGCATGCATGTGCCGCCAGATTTGTTTGTTACTTCACCTGCTCACTCTTCAAGCCCTTTTGCCTGTTGAAGATTCGAAGTTCGAAGCTTCTGGTGGAGGTGACGTTGGCCGCCTTTCACGGAAAACTGTCCCTGTTGCTCGCTTGGACGGACGCGGAGGTGCTTGACTGGCTGACTTGGCGCCTCCGGAGGCGCGTGGGAGATGCGCGGCTCAATTCCCGTGCCTCGCTGCCAGGCCGCGGCTTACCTGGAGACGCTACATCGGTATCAAAGCAAGGGAGCGGAGGAACGGAACACATGAAGTCTTCCAGCATTCTCCTGCGTCGCAGTGCGCATGTCAAGGCGCTCCAAAAGAGGGTGACACAGGGAGACAACAGGGCCCGTCTCCTCGAGGTCCTGACCACCATCAAGGCCAATCTGCAATGATGGGTATGTGATGGGCTTTTGGTGTCAAGATGCAGGGAATCAACAAGACGGATGCTGCCTCGTTGACATCCCGGTTTGGGCACCGTGTCAGCAATGGAGCTGGGCTGTGACGGATCAAAGCCGCATGTTGGAGAAACTGTCAGCTGGAGGTCCTTTGCTCAGATTACACGCTCGACTGACGAGGACGGGTGTCGCGGGTGCGAATGTGCTGACCATCTTCACGAATTTTTCGATTTGTTCACGAAAATTCACGAGTTGGCACGTCGTGCTAGGATTTCCTGCGCTGCCCTGGCATCGGCGACAAAAAGGTTCCAAATGTTCTGATTTATTGTTTCTTGGACATATGAAGTCACGCAGGAAGAACCCAAGCTTTAATGCGCACATGCAAAGAGGTGAAGCAGCTGGCCAGCGTGTTGCACAAGCCTTTTTTCCCGAACGG